TTGCTCTTTTTGGTGGAGGCGGGTCGAAAATTCGTTGTTGCATATTAGGCGGCAGAGTTGAGTAAAGCGGAATACATCGCAGTTCACCCACATCGGGACCCAAACCCTCGACTTCGCGCTGGATCCGCTTGCACGCCTCTTCGATCTCCTCTTGACCGGTTAGGAACAATAGGATATCACCCTCCACCTCTTCGCACATGTGTATTTGAATCACAGTGCGGATAGCAGCCTCCAAATAGTCTCGCTCCGGTTCTGGTGTGTAGAAAATTTCCACTGGATGCGTACGCCCGGGCACGGTCATAAGAGGAGCTTTGTGAAAGTAATCCTGAAAGCAAAGCGGAACGGAAGAAACGGTGGTAAATCGCCGTAACTCGGGCATGGGTTGTGCACGATTTCCCGTATCAACCCACAGTGACTAAGGTGAACCGAGCATGGACCGCCCAATATCGCGAGAAGAATAGAAGCTAATTAGATATCGAAAACTCACTTGGAACTTCCCCGCATCAAGTGTGGCGCTCATGACAACAATTTTTAAATCTGAACGCTGTTTGATCACTTCTTTCAATAAACCCATGAGGATGTCTGTAGCTAAAGTGCGTTCGTGAGCTTCATCCAGCAGAATCACTCCGTAAGCCTCTAACAAAGGATCGGACATGCCCTCACGTAGCAACATGCCGTCGGTCATATATCTAAAGGTGAATTTATAAAGTGAAAACTTTGCAGTACTTTAAGAGAGTGCGACCGGATGTGCAATCTTCAAAACGTATGCTGTATCCAACTTCTTGGCCAAGCTCCACATCCATTTCTTCAGAGACTCTCTGAGCGACCGACATTGCGGCAACTCGCCGTGGTTGGGTACAAGCCACTGCTTTTTTTGTAGGATATCGGCCAGTGATCCATTCTAAACACCATTGAGGTATTTGAGTGGTCTTCCCAGACCCGGTTTCACCAACAAGAACAGTGACCTGAAGCCGAATGAAACTAACTTTATACAAGGGACTCACTTGGTTATCAGAGAGGACTTTGAAAAATTCCTCTTTATATTCCCACACGGGGAGTTGAATACGTTTTCGGAAAATGTCGTAATACTTCGCCGAAAACGCCTTGCCTGGAAGAAATGAATTTTAAAGAGCGTTTTCATTCACTATAAGCATAGAGTCAATAAAAGCGAGCGCGGATACATATCATGTGCCTTGAAGTAACAACCATTTTATTTACAAGACGGTGCCTGTAAGAAAAACCCACAATAAAATCGAGATTGTTTGGGGGTTAATTAATTAAATCAAAACCAAAACTGGTAGAAACTTTCGAGCATTGCAACACATTTCACTCTTCAGACGTTGCACATATGTACACTTAATTTGTCAACATACTTCAGATTCACTGGAAATCTAGCACACACTGGAGAACTTAAAATGATTTGGTTCGGGGACGTGGTCTTAAGAGTTGCATAGCCTAGTATTATCAGAACGGCAACAGGATAACAGCAACGGTCTAATTGAATACACAGAAAATTTGTGATACGTCCTATGGAAAACTATTTTATTTTTGTAAGCAGGGGTCATGGTGATCCGACATTTCAAGTTTTTGTCACCGGCGTGCTTTGGGTTCTAGGGTCCAAGATTCAAATACTGCCACCGCCGCCCCACTTTAATAGCAGACAGCTTCGCTGTCATCCGGCTCAAAACCCTGTGATTAGCAAATTCAAATACCAGGACTTAGGCTACCGGTTTCTATGAATGAACAGATCCTCTTGCCCCGTTTGATGTTCATCACACAAAGGTGTGTGATACAAAAGGCGGCACACTACTTTTAGGGTATCACCGTTGGTTGCTGATTCAGAGAAACAATTTCCATCTATTTACCGTTAGGTAAGTAATCTCTCGTGATCAAGACCTAGAAACAGTCTGTAGCATTTATTCCCGATATTCTAAAATTCTGGCAATTGGCAGAGAAAGCATTACTTCCATACCTATGCCAGTTAATCAAAGCAAACACCCGTGGGAAGAAAAATACAGTGACCAACACCGAAACCACCACTGTCTAAAACGAATGATAGGCAAAGGACCTGCACAGATAGAGCTGACAAACATCGAACTGAAGTGAGAAAATCAGCACTTCCGCACATCGACCACAGTAGTCTGTTACACACAACTATCAGCTGGTGATGCAATGTCTACAAATAAAACAAAAGTAAAGGCGAAGATCAAATTGACAACCCTAGACTTGGGAGGCCGATTGTGATTTTCTTATGAATAAAAATGGTTAGGTAGAAGAAGGAACTGAGAGTGCAGAGACTTACCATTATATGGGTTGATTTGAACCGAGAGGTTAGTAGGAATGGGCATGTGCGCCTTGGAATTGCGATCCGGAGAGCGGGATCGCTCCCGCGTGTGGTTGTCCTCGGGGGCATCGCTAAATCTATTACACCGGAGGAAAGATTACATTCGAGTAAGTGAAAAACGTAAAGTACATCTAACTGGAAGTAGTGATTGCATGCCTAGTAAGCGTGATAAACTGACCTGGAGCGGCGAGGTTTAGCATCACCTAGATCAATTCTGTGTCGCGAAGACATAACTTGCAATTGAGGGAGACAGGTAAAACGATTAAGAAGTTTAAAGCTGAAACGAACGAAAATTTTCAGAGATTATAAAATAGACGCAAAACAATGGCGCAATAAAGAAAGCAACTTTTTTAGTAAATACAAATACGAAACATCTATTGCTAATCTCAAAGGCGTTCGTCGTCTTTTACCAATTGTATGAGTGAAATGCAGACCTGCGAGGAGCACGCTGAGCTTCGCACCAGTAGTGGATGCACCAACTAAACCGTTATCCCTTGACAATTGCTCGAGCGCCATCATGCTTTTGAAAGACTGTATTCCTAGACATCAGTTCTGTCAGTAGGACCGCTTGGAACCGCTTTATGAGGAATACGGTACCCAAGAAGTGTCGATCCTCAAACAGTTTTATCATCGCACCTAAAGTCATGTTAGGGTACATGCCTATCTTTCGTCACCCTTTGGGGTCTCCAGTGGAGCAAGGTGGCACCATTTCTCCATTCTTTATCAACTTTGCCACAGAAGACGATTTACAGAATATCTTGTCCGGTCCAAAAAACAGAGGAGTTGAACTATTCCCAGGAAACTGAGTTCTGGACATAGAATATACCGAAGATATCGTAATGCTGGGTGACAATATGCGGGTAATCCAACACGCCTTAAACCGCTTGGTGCTTGTTCACAACCGGCAGGAGCCTCTCCTTACACTCATCATTCATGGTGATCGGCTGCAAGTAGTTGAGAGCAATAAGTACCTCAGAAGCTTGATCCAGAACAGCTTTTGCTAACCTGCGACATTTGTGGTACCGTCATAACATGACTACCTTAGGGGGTGTACCTCGCCGCAGTTCGCGGGGTGTTGCCTTGCGGTTGTAGAACCTGACCTAGCAGGGCCTTATGTGGTTCACAACCATATGCCCTAGAGCTTAG